TCAAAAAATCCCACAGTCGCACTCCAAAATCTTGCGGAAAGCCTTCCCAGAAGAGTGGCAGCTGCTATAGCTGCAAAGGGGGGATCAACTCCATATCGATGCCTATAGACTTGGAATCAGATGTGATAAGTTTCTGCAGGTGTAATGGCCAGGTGTCCCACTACTTTTGTCCAGAGAGTGTATCACAAGTATATGGAAATCTATATGTATAATAAATCAGCTGCCACCTGCTGGGCGCATATATTAGTTCTTTCTGAATTAAAAAAATCTATAACAAACCACTTCAAGAGAAAATTATTTATTTTTTCCATTTTCAAACAGAAATGCATTTTAATACAAATGCAATTCCCACATTTGATTTTATTAAACAAAACACGTTTTAATAACCATTTGAAAAATAATTCACCGTAGCATTTCTAATGGTCCATCCAACTGCACAGTCATCTTGCAGTGGTGGTGTAAGCAACCTTAACACAGATTTGCCATCAAGCTTAACAAGAAAAGACAAAATGGACCAAGCAGATATACATTGCCAGAAGGTGTACATTGTCATTACTTCACCTTTAAAGGTACATTTACTTTTCCAGGTCAGAAGAGAGTAGTTACTTCAAAACAGAAGCAGGATGTTTGGGCTGCGACCATGGTAATGCGACTGGTACTGCCCAGAAGTTTTTTTTTTCCTCCTTGCACAGCTCCCATGGAAATCAAACTTGTGCAGTCTCTTTCTGATAGTAGATGCATGTACCTTGACATCAACTGTGGCAAGAGCTTCCTGTATGACCCATGATGACATTTTAGGATTTTGGAGACTTCTTTCAGCATCTTGCGGTCGGTTCTTTGTCTGAACTTGCTTGGACAGCCTGCCCTGGCCATACTGGCAGTTGTTTTAAATGTTCTCCACTTATAATTTTTTTTTGGACAGTGGAATGGCTGATTCCAAACTCTCTTGAGATATTTTCATATCCTTCTCAGACTCATATGCATCTACAAGCTTCTTTCTGAAGGCCTCAGCAAGCTCTTTGGATCTCACCATGGTGATATCACTCATTTCAACAATCAAGAGCAAACCAAACTAAATGCCTGTGGTTTAAATAAGACAGACTCCACCAAAAAGCTCTGTAATGATGTTCTAATCATTTTCACCTGATATGGTGCCACCTGAATCTAATTCTAGGAATTTTAAATTGTGATGAATGTGAGGATGTCCTAACTCAGTAGAAAGTAGGATCTTAGTTAAGTTCTTTTCGTAAATAAGTGAATTTGTTTCTTGTTTTTGCAATTGCATGATGCAATTACATCACCGTCATCTACAGATATAATTTGAAAGAAGATTTAATACTGGTATGTTGCTATTTCTTAATAATGAACTAAATATTTAATGGGGTGTCCTAATTTTTTTGCATGACTGTATATCGAAGAAAACATACTTTCAAGCATTTTATGCAACACGCTTTGCGGAGTGAGCATCAGCGTAGGCAGAAGTAATGCAAGGAAAATTGCTGCCCATGTTGTACTGCGTTTATTTGCAATTTGCAACATCAGTGATAGTGATCGATCCAATTTTTCAAACAAATGTAATCTACAAGTAAAGATTCTGCTGCTCTGAGGTTTTCAAATAAAATAAAATACATTAATAAACTTACTTTAAAAAAGGGCAAGTTCAAAAAAACTGCACTAAGCACCACTTGTTGACATGTGCCATGACATGGGTGCGTCCCAATTCAGGGGCAGCATCCTTCTAAGGCAGAATTTGAAGGCCCATTTCGAAGGCTCCTTGAAATGCATCCTTCTTTTCCCAACCTATTTCAAGATTCATCGCATGGAGATAAAGTGGGTGTGTCCCGGCTAGGCGATAGGAGCGATGCTTCATGATACAAGAGTAAATGCGGGAACAACTGGTGACGCAAACAGGAAATTATCCACAGGCCAGACCCTCCCATTTAACAACTAAGGTTGTGTTCCTTTGAAGGTGCAGCCTTTGTGGTTTGCGTTATTTGAGGGTCAAACAGAAGTGGGACAGCCAAGCCATCAGCAGCTGTTCCCACTTTGACCCTTGAGTCATGGAGCACCACTCCTATCGCCTAGCTGGGACACTCCCATTTGACTTCTGAGGAATCTTGGGATACGATGGGCTGCGAAGGATCCATCGAGTGGATTCTTCACTACTGGGCAAAAGAAGGATGCATATCTAAACCTCATTTGAAGGAGACTTTGAAATGGGACAGCCTTGTCACACCACTGTGATGCATTTGAATGCAGCCCCTGAATTCGGACACAGCCTAAAACTAGATATGGTGTCCAGGATCAGTGCATGCCCTATCCTTTTTGTTGTTTTCCTGTTTGTCCAGCAGGTGTCACTGGCCACCCTGTTCCTAGTGTTTAAGTCCTTAGTGTTTAGTGATTATTACCCTCACCTGCATCTAGTTATTCCTAGCCCTAGTGTTTGGTTATTGTCAATGATCCACACCTGTTACCTTGTTTGGTCCTGTTCCTGTTAGCATATGTGCCTGCCTTTGCCCTGCTCTTTGCTGATCAGTGTATGTGATACCTGCCAATGTTTCTATGTGATCTTTGTAAATGCTTTTGGTTGTGTTCCCTCTGCTTGTCCTCATGCATAGTTCCCTATTTCAAACACCATATTTCATAAGGAAGCCTTCCAGACAAAGAACAAAAACATCCATGTGGGCTTGAAATAGTTCTAACTGAGGGAGCTGAAAGAATTTGGGTAATAATACATTTGATTTCTGTATGGTCCTGTAGAAAGTACAAGCAAGTGGGTCAGTCACAGAAGGCTTTATTTGCATTACAGTGCGAAAGCATAGACATTCATATTCAAAGAATACATTCAAGGCTTCCCTCTTATATGCGAACCTTCACCAGGCAGCAAATCAGAACTACCCTTCCATACCCATATCACATTTGTTACCCACCATCAGAAGTAAGTGTGTGTTGGAAAAACAACAGATTAAGTAACATCTTTATCTTATCTAAACAGAAAGCTAGAGTGTACAATAACCGAATTTAGGTGCCTCTGTGGGTGTTCCTCCTAACCAAATCAAGGTGTGTCAGAATGTGTCCCATCTAGCCAAGTCTAGGTGTGTTGGTTATCTGCAGTCTACAAGACAGCTGAAAACTTACGGTCTCTTGTCATTTTCTAAAAATTAAATTCCACAATAGTACATGGTTCACCATAAAAAAAAATTACTAGAATCCCTATAATCTATAGGCTACTTAAGAGTTTAAGGCCTTATGTTCCCAGGGATGCAGTTCAGTTGATGTAAACTGGAAGGATATTTCCTAATTGAGGGGCAGCTACATTGACGTTAAAGTGATTGTAAATGATTTTCTGATAGATCAGAGTTAGCAGATCATGATTAAAGATGTCCTGAGTGCAAGTTAATTTTCTAAAGCTCCTCATAGCCTATCAATAGTGTTTAGCCAACAATTTACTTGCATTTGCAGTCACCCTTTAGTGGTGCTACAACCAGGATCTAAGTGCTCCTATTCTCTCACAAAGCACCTGGGCACTTGTTAGGTTGTTTAAACATTTATGAAATGTTTCCAAATATTGGTAATGACTGTTGTTTTTGATTATACATGTTTTGCTTTGCCTTACCTTTATTGGATAAGTTGGTGGAAGACAGATAGATGTTTTCCTTTGAAAGAGTTTTCTTTCTCAAAAGCACCATGAACTTGGTAAGACTTAAACATGAACATGTGTAGATCACTTGGAAATGAGAGGAATTCACTTAAATGTTGTACTGTTTCACCTTTACTTGACCCCTTCATACACTGGAGTAATTTTTCCAGACTGTATATTTCAGCAAGACACGTGCAGCGATACCACAGAGCCCTTTCTAGAAAGTCCCAAAAGTCAAAACAAGTAACAAAGATTATTTTCAAGTAATTTAATATGGCTTTTTAAATGTTATTCTATTAAAATTATTTTCATATATTCAGAAAAGTTTCATGGGTGTACAGCTATGAATAATAATTCTGCACTCACCAAATAACAGGGCTTTATTGAATTTAAAACAGGGATGAAGGTAAAATTAGAAATTTCTCGGTGTACAAGCTGTATAATTCAATTAATTATCAAATTTTCTGCCATTGCAAGACCTTTATCCTAAACAACAGAATATGGAAGAAAGGCTAAACTTTCTCACAGAGCCGCCTAGGGCTAATATGTTTACACACACACACACACACACACACACAAAAGTTGGTCTTCCTATCTAAATGGGGATCATCCATTCATTTCTATGGGAAAAACCCTAATTCCAATCACGACACCCTTAACCCTACTCATCCCTAACCTTAACCATAAGTAACCAACCCAAATACAAGACTTTTGGCGTTTACTTTTTTGATTGCATTCACAGATTTTTATAAAACTGAGGTTATCCAAATGGGGACCTCAACAGATGTCCCCAAAAGTAGGGAAATTTAAGGTTTCACTACACTTTTGGGACAATTTGGTTCTCAAATGTGATCTATGCAAACACACACACACACACACACACACACACACACACAGTGGGAAGAATGTGCCTGCATGCGGCTAACTTCTGTTGCCCAGGATACATGCACAAACCACATAAAACGACCAAACCTCTCCATTGATAATAAATGTCAAACCGCATTCCAGATGAGTGTCGTCATATTTTCTGTTTTTGCTTGTCTTAGGTGTTACTTTGACATCACATTTATTTAAACGTACCAGCAGCTAAAAAAAATTGTCCATGGTTCCTCCAAGTATGTAAGCATTAACTGAGCAACTCTCCCACCGTAAACTTGCGTTACGCCACTAGTGATAGTTCAATATATTCAGCACATGGTGCCTATTTTACACATTATTTTAAACGGGCAGCACCATATATTGTGTATGGACATATTGTGTTCACATTATTTTTAATATTTCTAAATATTGGGTCTGCCCCCAGCTCAACACCCCCCCCAGTTCTGTTTTTTTTCCTTTACCTGTGCCCCCCCCCACATTGCCTTTCTGCCCCAGAGTGTGAATACCACTGCTCTATGGGCTAGGATTCCATGACTGTGATTGGATGGCTGCTGGGTTGAATCCCGTGACTGGCAGAGTAATCTTATCGCTGTTCACCTTAAGCATGACCTTGAAAACTGTTTTGGGGTGCCGTTCAGGCACTCTAACCCCCAAACCTCACTCTCACCTCTGAATCTCATAGGAAAGTAAGACGTGATATGAAAGAACTAAAGAAATCTCACATACTCATACAAATGGCAAAGTATCATAAATATGCTATATTGAGCATTTTTTACAGAAGCTAATTTTAAAATACACTGCAGATTATTTCATTCTGACCACTCATCCCACACTCAGATGTCTGATAATGTGAATTTTCTGGTGCTTCTTCAGGTGACTTGACTGACTGAAGGTTTTGCCACACTGGTGACAGCTGTATGGTCTCTCCCCTGTGTGCACTCGCTTGTGTTTTTTAAGATTGCCCGCATGGCTAAAGCATCTTCCACACTGTATGCAGCAGTACGGTTTTTCCCCAGTGTGGCACCGCTGATGTATCCGGAGATTTCCAACTCGGCTGAACGTCTTACCGCACAGGACACAGCGATGTTGCTCTTCCAGCCTGGGGTTCTGATGTCTTTTCTGGGTGTCTGCAGAACACCTCATGTTTTTTGTGATTGTAAAGATGTCCTCCAACGCACTGTGATCTGGCTGCACGTACAGCATTCCATGCGTCCCTGTGTTGACCTGCTGGGCATCACCTCCAGATTCGCTCTGTGGCACATTGCTACTAGATTCAGTATCGTAGCAGTTCCCTTGATGCATGTGCGGATCCGAGGCTGCGTATTCCACTGGTTCCGGCTCCGTTTTAATTTCATCGGAAGCCAAACTGGGTAGCATGCAGTAGTCAGGATTGGAACACATAGGCTCTGTAACGGTGCCGTTATGTATGGCACCCAGATTACCATTACCCTGCACTGGCTGAGGCTGGAACACAGACAGTGCTGTATCGACACACTCAGAGCTAATGGCGTTCAACTCGGACACCAGTATGTCACACTCAGTCTCCGGCTCTGCCAGGTGAGCCAGCTCCAGCTCTCGACTCTCATCACCACTGTCCTTCACCACAGGCTGCTCATGGAACTCCTGCTTCTCCCCAGAAGCTGCAAAGTCTGAATCTGGCCTCAGCCCAGGGCTCCACTCCTGGTCACAGTGCTCAGCCAGGTCCCTCTCTCCAGTAACAGGAAAAGCAACAGGATGCACAGCCCCTGTGGACCCAGAAGATAAAGCTCCCTTCTGTTTCTGAAGACCTGGCTGAATTCAGCATTCAGTAACCACAAAAAGAACTTGGAAAAACCACTGAACAGGAGGCATCATGCTAATTAGAGAGAAGACCTGAACAAGACATATATCCTGAGAAGGATTCTGAGCCTGTATTACTTAGGCAACATTTTAGTTGTAAAATGTAAAATATTTATTATGAAGGTCGGAACATCACAGCTAAACAGTAATGGGAGAAGGCTTTTGAAACCAAATCGGCATGATTATGAATTGTCAATAGTCTAAAGGTTGTACACACTTTCCATTTGATACTTCACTAATCATATTTGCACACAAGGCCGGCCCATCCTATAGGTGACATCTGATTAGGAGGCACAAAACAGCAAGTGAAAAATCAAAAGAAATAATTCTGGTTGCATTCCGTATGTTTACAGGTATTTGCAGTAGTTTTAATATTTCACTACTTTTCTAGTGCAACAGACGAGAGATAGCTAGTTAGCATCCAGATACCCTGTGCTACTAACGTATTGAGGTATAAATGATCCGACAATTTTTTTTTTCTGTTGCTGGGGGGCAGTCCTGTGAGACCTACCGATGCGCACTCTCTTGAGCTTATCCTGGAGCTCCTGCAGCCTCCGCTTGAGGCTCTCGTTCTCTCTCTGCGTCCGAGCGGTCTTCTCCTGGTACTCCGACACGGTCTCTTTCACCACCTCCAGCACCTCATGCACGGCCACCGTCAGGAGCTTCGCCACACGGGCGTTCAGGCGCTCTATTTTAGACATCCTGTCACGATTCCTGTGACACACATATAATACTAGTTAAGACAGAAATCTTGCGAGCGACATAATGTCGTTATATCGGCAGGGGTTCACTTGCTTGTATTACCTGCCGTAGAAACCCGGCATTCAAGATGTACGAAAATATATCTAAATTATATTTAGCTCTAATAATATAGCAACTCGACTGTCTGACCGTAATGTTATAAAATAAAGCGCTGGTTACCTTGATTTTGTATATTTTGCTTTCCGCTCTCGCTACGTTATGCAGGACCTCCCTAAACTGTACTTTCTAATCGTTTAAGTAAATTACTTTAGGTGGTTACAGTAATGACAATCAATGTAGATGGTCCTAACAAAGAATTATATCAAAGATAGATTCCATTAAAGCTGACAAATACTGATGTAAAACTTGGTCACCACTGGTATCAGTATTGACCAAATTGACCATCTATTTACTCTCCGCAAAAGAACTGTCCACCCTCTTTTATAGTGCTAAAATCACGAAATATTCTGTGCTACAAAGATCATTCTGTATTAACGATTTTTAAACGCCCCAAAGAGCCCATTTATTGCCTATTACGGATAACGCCTCAATATATTTCATTATTCGCATTGATCCCTTACAATATGTACTCAGCTGTGTATTTTTTACCGTAGACATGTGTCAAGAAGAGATCCAGAGTGTTTACGTTGTTGTAAAATCTACTGCCACCAACGCTTCGGAAGCTGAACTGCACCTCTACATTTCAGTTGCTACAGGCCTAGACAATTATTTCCTGCGGAGAACCAAATCTGAGCGTCATTATGTCAACAGGCAAGAGCACTGGTTTGGTTTCATCATTGTTAGGTACCAAGTCAGTCCAGAAACCCCATCCCTTATTAGCACATGCCACTCCCATAATACTGGTAGAGACATGTCCTTACAGTCCATACCCAAATCTACACCCTTGTCAACAGCGGCCATTTGTAATGATTAAGTTTTTGTTTGTTTGTTTGTTTATTTATTTATTGTTTATTATTGATCCGCTGTTTGTGCTGCATCATATGTACAATTCCCTTTTCATTATAAAGTCTAGGGATGCCAGAGTTAGTAAAGAATTGGTAGGTACAAGAACAGTTGCAATGATAAAAAATTGGTATTGAATATTCCACTGTTTGCATGTTGGCAAAGGTATGAAGACATCTGATTTAGGACAACGCAAGCAGGTCATTCTGGAATATCATGAAGCTTACAAGGGCTACCATTCATAGAACCATACACTCACTGGCCACTTTATTAGGTACACCTGTTCAAATGCTCATTGTAGCAAATATGTAATCAGTCAATCAAACATCAGCAGCACAATATGTAAAATCATGCAGATTCAGATGAGGAGCTTCAGTTAACATTCACATCAAACATCAGAATGGAGTAGAAAGGTGATTTAAGTGACTTTGAACGTGAAAATGAGATGGGGGGGGGGTCTCTGGGCAAAAATGCATTGTTGATGGCAGAGATCAGAGAAGAACAACCTGACTGATTCAAGCTGATTGAAAGACAACAATAACCACTCATTACAATCTTGAAGCAGATGGGCTACAGCAGCAGCAGACCACATTGGGTGCCAGTCCTGTCAGTTAAAAACAGAAAATTGAGGCTAAAGTGGGCATGGGCTCATCAAAACTGGACAATGGAAGATTGGGAAAATGTTGCCTGGTAAGATGAGACTTGATTTCTACTGTGATATTCAGAGTTTGGCATAAATAGCATGAAAGCATGGATCCATCCTGCCTTCCATCAAAAATTATGGCTGCTGCTGGTGGTGTAATGGTGTGGGGGATATTTTCTTGAGACCCATTGGGGACCTTGATACCAAATGAGCATCATTTTACATGCCTCGGTCTACCTGAGTATTGTTGCTGACCATGTCCATCCCTTTATGACTACAGTATACCCAGCTTCTAATGGCTACTTCCAGCATGATAACACGCCATGTCACAAAACTCATACATTCTCAGACTGGTTTCTTTAATATGATACTGTACTCAAATGGCCTCTTCTGTTATCAGATCTCCATCCAATAGAACACCTATGGGATGTGGTGGAGCGGGAAATTTGCATCATGAAGGTGTAGCTAAAGAATATGCAGTAACTTCATGTTGCTATCATGTCAATATGGACCAAAGCCTCTGAGGAATGTTTCAAGCATCTTGTTGAATTTATGCCATGAAGCAGTTCTGAAGGCAAAAGGAGATCCAACCCATATTAGCAAGGTGTACCTAATAAAGTGGCCAGTGAGTGTATTTATATTGCTTTTATACTTTGAGGGTAAGTTATAAAAAGATGCAATAAAACTGTAGTGTGATTAAAGTAAGAATAAAATGTATGAATAAAGCTCTGTAAAGAAATATTGTACTTTAAAAAGCACCACATGGAGCTTCCACAGCCTGCAGAACGAGTCAGCATGGAGGACAAAGAAGGACAGAAGTGAACTGGGGCAATCTATTCAGCACCAGGGATAGAGCCAAACTCCTCTGATGCTTCTGTGGTCAGCACCACAGATTGATCCATTAGCTGACCCACTCCCCTACAGTCACCACTGTGTTTTATCACAGCCTTTCAAGTTATCCGTCATAATTGCGACTTGCAGGGCTACCCAGCAGTAGATGACGTGGGTTAAAGACAGCATCACCTGTAAAGACCCCTTATCTCTGACATTTAATGTCGTTTTGAATTTGTTCATAGGAGTGCTGATGCAGAAATAGATCAAATGGGAACATACAGGCTATTGGAATCGTTCATATCCTCAGTTTTTCCAGTGTTTTGGCTTGTAATTCATGCAACTACTCCTCATACAGTTTTTGTCAATTGTTCATTTTAGTTTTCTCCCAGAGAGAAAAAATAGGAAAGCAACAAAATGGATCAAAATATTACATTTGTAATAAGATATGAATAGATAAATGACATGAAGACTTACAAAATACATTTTTACAAAAGCCTTGTCATGACTTGACTGTAGTTATTTCTGATAAAATGTCATTGAAAATATACTGCACACCAAGAACTACATTCGACATGCCAAACTCCTCATCAAGATTGATATTATTGTTCAATGAGACAGCGACAGCCTGCATACCCCATAATAATGTCCCAGACAGTCGTATGGTGTCCCTCATTAGATCAAGCAGGAATCTTGTAAACTCACACAGTTACATCTGGTAATTGTAGGTACAGAAAAGGTACAGCATTTGTCAAACTTAAGTCTGGGAAATATCTGAGAGAGGTGGATGGTACAAGTAAACCTGAATGGTGTCTTCATACTCTAGAGTGGTGGATTCATGATGATAGGAGGATAAGGATGACAGTCAGGGTGAAATGGAACAACAAATCAAGGAATGTAGACATGAATGAAAACATTCATAAATATTATATAACTGCTGTTTACCAAATGTAGTTTAAATCTCACATCAAGACAGTGTGCCATCTACATTAAACACCTTGATTCTGGAGGAGAAGTCACACAAATTATCAAAAAATGTTCAGGTACTTCTATCTCATTGTATCCATTGTCTAGTTACAGATCCAAGTGTGATCCTGGCTAGTTGGTGGAAGGAACCGAGAGGAAGATGCATGTGCATGTGATTGTAGTACAGTGCTATACTCTTTGGATGTTGGCAGTGTTCATCATGTAAATGACATCACTACATTAAATCTCTTATTGAATAGGAAAAGCCATATATGTAGGTAGAGCACAAAAACTGGATGAGGTTATTTTGGAATATCATTCTATTATAATATGGTACAGAAAGATGTCTATTACAAAAAAAAACTACCTATTTGGTAAATGGGCTTGGGAATAATAATAATAAAATAATAACAATAATAACAGACTGTTAAAATACCAGGGGTGGCATGGTGCTGCTACTGCAGTGGGTAGTTGTACCACCTCACACCACTGGGGCCTGGGTCAAGTTTCCACCAGGGTTCTGTGGGAGGAGTTCACATGTCCTCCCCAAGTCATCGTGGGATTTCCTCTAGGTACTCTGGTTCCCCCCAAACTCCCCCCATGGTCCAAAAACACGCTGAAGCTAACTGCCGTTACCAAATTGCCTGTAGGTGTGCCTGTGTTAATGAATGGTGTGTGCGTGCACCCTGAGATGGGTTGGCACCCCATCCTGGCATGTTTCCTGCCTTGCACTTCGGCTCTGGCCTCCCCATGACCCTGAATAGGATAAGCAGTTACAGAAAATGGATGGAGGTTAAAATACCTTTGCCAGTGGTTTTTGGAAGAAACATATCATTGGTTATACAAAACTCAATCCAAACACCCAACAAATCCAATTTATTTAAGAAAATTCACATTTAAAAATACCACTATTTTTTTTTGTCCAACTGATCCACAAGTTTATATCTCCGGCATAATTTCACTATCATTCCAAGAAATGGAAACTAAGGCGTTTGACCAATGTGAATCTGCTGATGTTTTTTAAGATTACTTGAATGGCTGAAGCTTTTCCCGCACTGACTGCAGCAGTATGGTCTCTCCCCTGTGTGGTACCTCTGATGTATTTTCAGGTACCCTGACTGACTGAAGCCCTTCCCACACAGCATGCAGCGATATGGTTTCTCCCCAGTATGCACTCGCTTGTGCTTCTTAAAGTCGCCTGCATGGCTGAATCGTCGGCCACACTGCAGACAAGTGTAGGGTTTCTCCCCTGTGTGACATCGCTGGTGTATCCTCAAGCTGCCCACCCCACTAAAGCTCTTCCCACAGAGTATGCAGTGATGCTGCTCCTCAGTCCTGTGATACTGCCTGACTTTCGTAGTACCAGACGGCTGTTTTTCCAACGTGAATCTCTCCCTGAAGGCGCTATAATCATTTATGTACATCAACCCATAAGACGCAGTATCGAGCTGAGGCTCCCGAGTTGGTTCAGTTTGTCTTGCGTTGTCACTCGAATCCGGACAACGAAACGGGTTTTGATCGCTGCTGTGTATGTCCGTAGCATGCTCCTGTGGCACCGACTCCATTTTAACCTCGTTGGATACGAACTGATTTGAAGTATTTAGGGAAACTGTGTTTCCCAGGCTGCAAACTGAATCCAGATCACTGTCACTTTTAACGCTAGGTAGAGCAAATGTAGTCTGAGCCACGTCGGAGAGCAGAGCCGCACGGTGCGCGGACGCGTCCATGTGGGCGGCTCCGGTCGCCGGACCCCCTGGCTCCAGGTCTACATGGTTCGACTCTCGTCCATCGCGCTGCCGTCGCCCCCATCCAACCCTGTCATGGTCGGGTGCCTCGTGATTCTCCTCCGCTGGCATGATTGCTGTGTCCTGGCTGCCTCTGAGCCTCCGATCCTGCTCGACACGCTGTTCCAGGACGACGGTAACCCTGCCTCCAGAAACTGGGGGAGCAGCCAGCTGTACTGATCCTGAAGCGGGTAAAAAAGAAACACACCGAGTAATGAAGTGCCCAGATTGTGCATGTATTACATCTAACAAACTACCACTGTAATAAAGATCTTCTAAATGATGACCATTGTATATAAATGTATGTATTTATCACACAGATGCAGACAGGCTGACAAAGACCTTTAATGCAGTTTCTTTCCAACAAAACACATCAGTGCAAAAACATTACAAAGCCTTTTGAGTGGCAAAGCTACTGAGACATACACTTGTCGGGTAACATTAAAAGAATGAAGTAAAAGAAAAATCACTGGGAAAACCAAACTTAATATAAAGTACACTATTGATTGCAGGGGGATATTATTTTGCATAAAGCAGCAAATACATACAGTGCACAGTTACAAACACAAAAACAGTACATGGAATACAAAGAAGCAGATACAGTGCAAACAGCAGGGCTTATTTCAGACTTACCTGCATTTCCTCTCTTGTCCTGGAGCTTTTCCTGGAGCTCCTGCAGCCTCCGCTTGAGGCTCTCGTTCTCTCTCTGCGTCCGAGCGGTCTTCTCCTGGTACTCCGACACGGTCTCTTTCACCACCTCCAGCACCTCATGCACGGCCACCGTCAGGAGCTTCGCCACACGGGCGTTCAGGCGCTCTATTTTAGACATCCTGTCACACAAATAAGAGGAAAGGAGAAAATTACAGATAATTCATTAAATTACATAAGTTTTACATAAATTACATAAAGTAGTGATCAAAATTATGGAATGTGGGATTTACAAATTCAAAGTTATTTTATTATTAAAATACATATCTTCTATTTATCATATTTCATCAGTGAAAACTATCAGACGTCACAAACTAAAAGGTTTAAATAAGAAATTTGAAGAAGGTCAAAATAAGAGAACAGTTATGATTTTATTGCAGATGAAGTCTACAAAGTAATTTTCTCAACTTTTTTGATGGCTGTAAGTTTCAGAAATTAGAATCTGGTGATAAGTGGTCATTGTTGACATACCACAGCACATAACAACGAAATGTGTCCTTTAACCCATATGTGACATTGTGATATACTGTAGCAGGGGACACCTAATTCAGCACCCAGGGAGCAGTGCTTGCTCAGGGTACCTTGCTGGTCAGGGATTCGAACAAGCAATCTTTCAATTACAAGTGTGTTTCCCTAACCATTAAACCACCACTGTCCACAAGTACTGCAGTGCCCCGTGTGAGAAGTGAAGGGTTCTTGCTTTCAATGACTTTGGCACATCAGCACCCACAGGACATTTCTCATGCTGCTGGCTTAATTTTTTTCGACTTCTTCCAGAATTTGGAAATGAATGTCACCAATTTCCTTCCAGAGATTCTTGATAGGGTTCAGATCAGGACTCTAGTCTGGCCATTTTGTCTCCTTGATGTTCTCAGCTTTGAGGAATTGCTTCACCCATTTTGCAGTGTAATAAGGGACATTGTCTTGTATAAAAATGACTGGCTAACTGGCCGATGCTCGTAAGGAAGGAAGCTCATGTTGCTGAAGGAGGTTCTGATCCTCATTAGCATTCACCTTGTCATGTAGTCGTATGAGAAGCCTGACTCCTGTGGCAGAGAACATACCCCACACCCCCGCCCAACTTTACAGACTCCTTGACACACTTTTGAAGTCTTTCCCCAATTCAATGCTGCACAAAATAACCAACTGAACTCTGGACCAATTCTCTGTCCACACAATATGCTCCTCAGCAAAGGGGCGAGTCTAACCTTTTATTTCTTCTTGCTGATGAGCAGCTTGGTCACTGCAAAGTGGGCTTTCAGTCCATACTGTCCATATCAAGACAAATTCTTGCCCTGTCTAGAACTAATTTGGTGAGCAATTCCAGCTGCAGTGTTGAACCAATCCACATGGAGAGTATCCCTATCATCTTGTCTCTTGTGGGCAACCAACCTTTTTCTGGGACATAACTTAGTTTCTTTGTACAGCTTCAACATTCAAAAAATTAAGCTCTTGAAATGACTAACTTCTGTTCCAGTGGTTTAGAGGATCAGCCCATCCGCCTTCATGTGAACAACTTGACATCACAGGGTTACAGGCATCTTGAAGAGGCCTGCCATCTTACAGAATGCCTACCAAAGTCGCCAAATAGATTGGGGTTGCCAAATATTTCAGATCAGAACCAAAAACTGTAAAGTATAACACATTGTTTTCTAATTTTGTCTGCAGACTTTCAAATTTCTTGTTTAAACCTTTTATTTCCTGGCGTTAGATGATTTTCATTGATGAAATATGATTACATATGATTTTAAAATTAAGTATGATTAATATGAATTTTAAACCATATTTAATCATGTTAGAATAACTTGGAAGTATGGATAGGTAGCGACTTCGTAAATTACAAAAATGTCACTCGTTCCCTAATTTTGATCACTATGGTAGTCATACCGGGATACAGAACAAGATATTTTATTGATCTCAGGAGAATGGGATTGCATGCATACATCAGCAAGACACATAATAATCGATGCATTAAAAACTGCAGAAAAAAAATCAGTTAAATAACATTTCTGTATCATATCATGGTATCCGTAGGCAGAGAAATAAAACTCAATGTCTTGCGAATAAATTGATGACAGACCTTCCCCATAATTAAATCTCACCGATATATATATATACAGGGTACAGATAAGGCGAATCACATTACATATTCTGAGCTAGTTTCATTAGAGCGAACATGCAACATATATGCAAATAAACATTATTTACGTGTGACTGAAACTGGAGAATAGGATACATACTTTATAACCTCGGTCAAGAAGTATTTACTGATGATGATCTGCAGCCAAAGCTATTTTAATTGGTAAAAAGCACTCATACCTAATAGAAGCTAGTGAACGCTCAGTATCACTGAGTACCCGTCGCATAACGCCGAACCACCGAAACCCTTATAATAGCACCCACAGAGGTAGAAAGGACAATTAACCATTTAAAGACATCGCTTGCCTTTTGCAGGTTACAGCCTCCTGTCTCCTTGACGGCGATCGATTCAGCCGTCGAAATTAACTTAATTGCTGTTATTTTCCCCGTCAGAATTACCTGATGTTTTCAAGAAATGTGATCGATTGTCTTTCCCAAAAATCCCAACCGTAATTTTCGCAGCAAACAATTTCCTTGATTTCAGTATCACACAAGCAGGATGTAGTATGATTCCACTGCAACAGCAGTACTATTTCTCAAGACAGCCTGCTTCTATTCTAAATACAAGACAGCTGAACACCATAGAGATATGCAAAATGATTGTTGGTAAGAGCTCAAGAAGACTATCCGCAACACCCGAATTTCTAATACCATGTTGTTATACTGTCCCCTACCGTGGAGGAGTTTAAACTGCACATTATATTGTCCAGTAGCCACACACCCTTCTCCTTCTCAGGCCCCGCCGCTCTCAGGCCCCTTCCGGTTCACGCATGCGCCGAACAATTCGCCATTCTCAAGGCTCGCTAATCTTATGACCCCGCATGCGCAAAACAGAATAAGATGATCATCATGTAATGACATTACTATAGACTATACTATACAGTATACACTATTTTAAGCCTGATGTAAATGTATTTATGTATTCCAGAATGAATAAAGCAACAGATAACGCGGTAGATGTTTTCAATCATTATAACATTGGAAATGTTATAACTAAGATAAATAATGCTTAATTTTTTATTTTGATCAATAAATATCTAGGCATGACTTTGACAAGTTATTATATCTTTTATTTGCCTTTATATGCAAGGAATTTCTTTTGATGCGGGTGGTGTCATGACATAGGCTAATTAAACATACACCTAAATATCTAAATGTACTGTAAAGATACAAGGACAAATAAGTAGGGAAAAAGTCTTTTGCAGGAGATGTGCAATGATGAGGCAAGTATGTAGACAATATAAATAAAGAAATAAACAGATAAGTGGATGAATGTCAAGTGCAAACCGCTTGGGTAAGGTGCAAATGAGTTCTATAAGTTAATGAAGCTTGTACAGTGGGTGGTTAGATTATGAGACAGCTTCTCATGGGCCCTTGTTTAGAAGGGCGATGGCCTGAGGGGCAGAAGCTGTTATGGTAATGGTTTTTCCTTGTGCTCAGGACTCTTATTCTCTGCTTTAATGGGATAGAAGACACTGGAACTACTGATATGAAAAAAAAAGCTATTTGCGTTTTTGTTGTGAGAATATTGCATAAACAGTAAAACACTGAAATGCATAAACAGTAAAACTAAATAATTAAATTAATATATAAAATTTATAATACCTGGACAATCATGAAACATAGATCATGCAGAAATATATGACTAGGGCATTTTTCCCCCAAACATATCAACCATAAACTTCAAAAAGACCGGTGCCTAAGAGCAGTGGGCCTGAGAGTGACGGACTGGGGCCTGAGAGCAGCTGGCCTAGGAACAGCGGACTGGGGCCTGAGAGCAGCGGGCCTGAGAGTGACGGACTGGGGCCTGAGAGCGGCAGACCTGAGAGTGACGGACTGGGGCCTGAGAGCAGCTGGCCTAGGAACAGCGGACTGGGCCTGAGAGCGGCGGGCCTGAGTGTGACGGACTGGGCCTGAGAGCGGCGGGCCTGAGAGTGACGGACTGGGGCCTGAGAGTGGAGGGCCTAGGAACGGCGGACTGGGGCCTGAGAGCGGCTGGCCTGAGAGTGACGGACTGGGGCCTGAGAGCGGAGGGCCAAGGAATGCTTGACTGGGGCCTGAGAGCAGCGGGCCTGAGAGCAGCGGGCCTGAGAGTGGCGGACTGGGGCCTGAGAGCGGAGGGCCCTGAGAAAGGTAGCTGCAGCCATATGTTATTGAGTTTCCACATTGATAACTTTGAGGCAGCACCAGTGCTGCTGTATAACAGTGAGAATTAGAGTTAAATATGTTCGATCGAAACAGGACAAATAGAGCAAAACTAAATTACACAAAGAGTTCGGATAGATTGCTATTGCATTTGACCTTAGAGGAAATACATACATTCACCTTCCAATCATACTGTTCACATTCGTGTTTAGAAACAATAGAAAGTTAGCCAGAAGTGAGCAATGGTGTCTTAATGGTTAGGGAAGCGCACTTGTAATTGAAAGATTGTAGCATTGAATCCCGTCCAACAAGGCACCACTGAGGTACCCTGAGCAAGGTACTGCCCCTAAGCACTGCTCCCCGGGTGCTGAATTAGCTGCCCCCTGCTATATCACACATGGATTAAATGCAGAGGACACATTTCATTGTTGTGAGCTGTCGTGTGTCAACATTGATCACTTAATAAAAAATGATAATAATAATATTAAAGTGACAGAACAGAAACTCTCCTTTATTATAATACCATGACCTTATGTTTACCTCCACTGGTAATTGAAGGCTGTAAATTCAGAGAAGGTAAACTATCAAACAAAAATATTAGAAATATGTTTAACAATATTTCCTATCCTAGCATAGTTTATAGAAATTCAATTTGTTACTATTTCCAAAAAGATATCATTCATATTCTCAGAACTAAATACTTAAAATTTCCCTTATCTCCCAAAATTAAAGAAATTCATTTTAAAATTTTAAACGGAATATATCCATCCAATGAGTACTTAAGACTTAGATTTGTATTTGATACTAACAAATGTATATTCTGTGATGATATTGAAACTACAGATCACTTGTTTTTTCATTGTATGTAGATGCATTATGGTTGGACATCCATGACTGGCTTTATCCAAAGGTACGTAACCTTGATAACTTCACCCTAAAGGACATTAGCTATGGACTTGTAATGAATAATAGTAAAGTATTTGGTAAATAACATCCTCATGTTGGGCAAATTCTATATACATAAGTCAAAATACTTTAAAGTAAAACCAACCTTTTGTGCATTTCATAATGAGTTTATTCTGTATACAAAAGCCATAAAGGTAATGAAAGGTAAAAATGCAGTAAATTTGTTTTCAATTATTATAGAATATGATTTACAAGAAAAACCCTAGCCCCCCTGCATGAAGGTTTTTTTCTTTTCTCTCCGTTCACTTTTTATTTTATTTGTATGCACCTGTTCTGTAGTAATATAATGATGTTTAATATTGCCGAGTTGTTTGTACATGAATGATTGTTCAATAAATAAAAAAGGCGTTACACTCGTATTTGAATAACTATGCCATAAATATTGCGACTACCCTGTGATCGTGAAGCGCCCGCTCGGTCCACCTTAAGGCGTTTAGCGCACTGCTTCCGTGACCGACCTTTCCGGGGGTGGGGCGCCGCTTGTATTTTGGCGCGAGCCCCTATGTTCGTAAGCTGCCTGTGTCTGTCGGCGGTGCTGAGTGAAAATTAACACAAACAACACTTTAAAGACACATGTATTGCAATTATATATTGATAGCTATGAGGGCAAAGCAAACCACGCATCCTTAAGGTCTGTGTGGTTATCTGGAAGATAAATGGGTGGAGCTATTCGGTACACTTTTCAGCTGGTTGATACGGTTCCCTTGCAATGGATATAGACCCACTTTCCGTCGGTCCAGGAGCCCTTGGAACAAACCAGTGACTACTGCGACCAGGTAAGTGGGAATAAATAAGTTTGTCACTAATTCCGGGGTGCGGCTCAGTGGTCTTGTAACATTGCTCAGACTGATCTGCTAATCGATTATTTCGTCCACGTGATAAATCCACGTTTTTGCGGATTTAATCCCAGAACACTGTACTTGCATCAGAAAGCGAATTGTTTTGTTTTTGTAGACGGTGCTTGTCTGTCAGTAAGGGTGAACAGTTTGTATGGATCAGATGTTCTTAATTTAGCACGAGATTTACTGTGGCGGAGGGGCTAAATAATAATTTGAATCGCTCCTATTTTAAAAATATCAGTTTTAAAAGAATCACCTACTTCTGTTGACAAATGAAGGAAATCCAGTACAGAATACATATAATCATGCATTGGCGTTTCACGTATCCCGAATTTTGCATATCCACCGTTTAAAGGATTATATATTCGTAAAAAGTAAAAGCTGGTGACCACGGTTTCCTATGGCGGAATGATTTGTACCAATACAAGAACATTTGCCTGACGAACTTTATACTTAAACAGATTCCTCATAATTTGCCCGTGTGTATCTTTGCAACATATTTTCAAATTTACAACCGGTTTGTGAATGCTTAAAAGCTCATTTGTGGATCATGTGACACACGTGAATTCAGTGACCTTTTTTGAGACTTTCCCCACGCTGTTTTGTAACCCGATCCACGCACACAATTGCTGATGTACGCGTAGCTCCGGCTTGCTTGCAGGATACCGTTAGGGGGCGCTAATGTTTAACCCACACGCAATCATTTTCTCGACGTATGTTCCTGACGACCAGTATCCATTTAATTGCAGACCTACTTATATTACATGTAATCCAAAGTTTCAGGTACAGACTGAATCAGTAGCAATAAATACTATAATGCTGAAGTTATATGGAGGGTTGTAGATAGAAGACTACGCACAGTTAACAGTTGTTTCAGTTGTGCCACAGTATGACGTTATATATGAAAAATTCATACTATATTAAAGGAAAGTAAAATGGGTACACCGCCAGGCGCTGCTCCAACTATAATACACCTGACTTGACTATCTAACTCAGGGGTCTCCAACTCTGGTCCTGGAGAGCTACTATCCAGTAGGTTTTCTGTCCCACTTGGCTTCTGATGAGCCACACCTGGCCCTGGTATTTACCTGAGAACAGGTGTGGCTCATCAGAAGCCAGGTAGGATAGAAAACTTACTGGATGGTAGCTCTCCAGGACCGGAGTTGGAGACCCCTGATCAAACTACTCCCTTTGTTTAGATCAAGATTTAAAGCCACAAAAGCTCTGGGCAAAGGATTAATAGATACAATGCTAATTATATCCATGATTATGCATCAGTTTTCCATCCTTAATGTTTGTGATTAGCTTTTTCTTTTAATCAGCTCAGGTAAGGTTGCAGAGCATGCACTGGGCGAAAGCCTAGAAGATTTATTTTTTTTCTTGATCATCGGATCATGAGTATTTTTCAGCCAGGATTTACTAGGATACAGATATTAGACACTGCCAAGGCAGTGAGCCCAGATGAGCAATTTCTCAGGCCACTTATACATCCTTCTCAACTTCAAGATCCTTGTCTAAAACACTACAGACAAACAGAGCTTTCTATGAATCGTTGACATTAGGCCTACATAGTCCATGTAGTGCTCATATGATTACAACAAGGCCACGCATCCTGACTCACCAGCCAAGGCTGGGGACGAGTTAATAGCCACTCAAAGCAAGGAAGAAATATGGCCACTTTGCAGCTGTGACCATGGAGACAGAGGATAGCGAGTATCAAGAAGACGTCATGCTTATGCAAAGCAACTTATGGCAGTGCTCTTAAAGCGTGTGGGCACAGAACAATAGGGTTCACCCAGTGTGTAATCATCCTCCGTGGGGTTTGGACAATTTACAACGCTATTCTTAAGGCATGTAGGCATAGAATGGTAGGATTTCACCCAACAACTGTAAATGCATTCCAGCTGTATTAATAAACGTAGACCATCCTTAGCCCTCACAATTTTCTCACCACCCAACTATAGAGAGATTAATATTTCTTTACTATTACCCATCCAGTATGTTTGTTTCTGCCACCATTATCCATTCCATCAAGAAAAGTCAGCAGTGCTGATTAACTGAGAAGTTGATTAGTTTGCAGGAATATACGTTGCGATAAAGTGATTGTCTGGGTTTCAGATATTTTAGTGCCCCCTAGTGGTACCGCGTAGGCCGGCGCTAGGTGTAGATCAGCAGCTCTCTGTGCATGGATCCCTCAACAGACACAATACTCTTACAATATTGGTAGGAACATGCCCATACCCAAATATATACCCTAGCACTGATTTTGCTGTTGTAATATGAAATATTGAGCTAATTTTAAAATTAAAAATGGCTTTAAATGAGCTTTTATTTATCATTAAAGTATAAATAAAACCAAATTTGTCTCAAACAAAATATTTGCATAATGCATCTTCATTCATATTAAAAGAAGAAAATACCAGTACATAGAATTTGCATAAAGATAACCAGTATCCTCTCTCAAAAATGTCAAATGTAAAATTAACAGTGGTTCAGCTGTAGGGACACACCACCACCCCCAGACTGGGAACCTCTGGTATGGTCAGTGTCCTGATTTGTGTATCTGGTGGTTTGTAATACTCTTTCCTAGTTTGCATTAGAATTGCAATAATAAAAATAACTACAGGTACCACTGTTGGAATAAAAGAGCATTAGCCTTAATATCTGCTTCATTCACTAACTAGTATCCAGCTAATTAATGGAATATAGGCCCAGATTCCATGTTCTGGACAGTCAGTAATTTGTCTTTTTCCTGGTTCCACAGCTTTTCTCCTGTCTGCTGGGTTTAACTGGAGCAAAGAGGAGGCTGCTTTTGTCCCATCCTTTATGTAATCATAAGCCCTCAGCCAGTTTGACGATCTCTGCTGCTATTCTCCGCCTGTCTTTGGTCCACCCCTTTATTATTGTTTCTTTGTTATTAGACTCAACAGCTTTTTTTTAAGTCGTGTTTTATTATTTTATTTTTGGTCCCCTGTGCCATTAATCAGCACTTGGCTTTACATCTTTCTGCAGACTGGTCAGTGCTGCTTCCTCTGGCCATGTCAGACCCCAAACTCACCACCACTCCTCTCCCCCTCCCAGAACATTTCTCCCAGGCCCAGCAATCCTTCTCTCTAAAAAAAAGAAGGCTTCCATTCTCTTCATCCTCCCCTTCCTCCTTGTCCCTTACTCCTCCTCCTTTGCTCGCACATTCGCTGCCCCCTCGCCCCCCCCCAAAATGGGTCCCATCTGTCAGTCGGGTATTTCCCCAGCGACCCCCGTCTCCCTGGACACCACTATCCCATTCCCTCTCCCAAACCCCACCTTCTCCATCACTGTATGACCCAAGCCGACCCCAGTCCTACTTCAACCAGTGCTTCACTAACCTGGGCTTGCTGGGCAGGGGCTCCTTTGGGGAGGTGTACAAGGTAAGTCACACAGTCTATACCTTCATAAAAGTGAATGGTGAAGGTACAGGGAGAGGGGAAAGTGCTGAATTAATTTCTCCCCTGTGGTTCATCTTCTGGTCCTAGGTGCTTAGTCTGCAGGATGGACAGCTATATGCTGTGAAGCGCACTGTCCAGCGCTTTAGAGGCAGTGAGGACAGGCAGAGAAGTCTGCGTGAGGCCAGGAACCATGAGATCCTGGGCTCCCACCCTTACATCCTCGGCTTTCGGGCTGCCTGGGAGGAGAGGGCCCGTCTTTATATCCAGACTGAGCTCTGTTGTGCCAGCCTTCTAATGCATGCAGAAGCCACCAGCCTAGGTGAGTAAAAGGCTTTGGAGTGTCCTGGACATCCCTATGCTGATAGGAACACAGGGGCAGTTATGAGTAGAGCTGTCATGATTACTCGATTAAGCTCAATTACTCGATTACTAAAAAACACTGATCAAAATTTTCCTTCTTGATTAATCGGCAATATGACAGAAGGGTGATGCCGCATAGTGGATGAAGGCAAAAATAAAGAGTGAAAACCATCAGTTGTGTGGTAGCACTTCACAATCACCACAGAATGATTGCAATGCAAATATATATTGAAAGAAGACTTTCAGGTTTGACAGACACCAATAATGCCATTAATTCGCCATAGCTGTGTGCCATTTAGCCTCTTGAAGTAGCCAGCCTGTCCTTGTCATCATGTGCGCTTAAATTATTTTGCTTAATTTACTTTCTGCAATTCCGCTATGTAAAAATATTAATAATCGCTGATAAAACAGTTAGCCCTGTCATTTATCTGCATTATCTTACATAATATGGTACATATTCACCATATAATCTTTTGTGAATATATAATATAATATAATATATAAATTATTCAATGAATCATCAGAATAATTGGTAGATTACTTGGTTATTGATATAATCGATCAGCCCTAGTTATGAGGAACGTGGCATCCAGTTATCTTACACAGTTTGTGAGCCAAAGTAAATCAATAATAATCTCTAACTCCAAGTCACAGTCATCTCATTACTTGTATTGCTATTGAATAATGCAGGTTACGGGTTACAGATCCTTAAAATCTTAAAGTACAGTGGTACCTCAGTTCTCAAACCCATTAGAACTCGAAGTTCTTAAGTCGAACCAAGCAGTTCGAAAAAAAATTACCTAGAAGTCGGTCTGAATCTCAGAAGTCAAATCGTGAACGCCGACCTAAGAGAACTTGTACGCGTGGGGAAATGAGTCACGCGGCACATCTCTCAGCGGAAACAAAGGGTAATGCTTCAGTCTCAGCTTCGCATTCGCTGTGTTTATTTTTCATAGTAACACGGTCGTCCTTAGGTCGTCCTCTGTTGGACAGGATGTCATCCTAAAAGGACGTCCTCTAGACATCCTAATGGAACATTAAGAAATAAATATATAACTTAAATATTTATTTTAAATGGTATTCCAGGAAGCTGTCATAACGATTGATATTTGAAGGATTTCTTTATTTTTCATAGTAACACGGTCGTCCTAAGGACATCCCCAAAAACGGGAGGTGATCCCAAAAACCGTCACCCACCCCGGTCCTCCATGGGACAGGTTCCCCACCCCTGTTCTAAGAGGCGGTGCTGTAGGTTTAGGTTGTATCCTTCCTTTACAGGCGAGGCTGAGGCGTGGGGGTTTCTCTGCGATCTGCTGTCAGCTCTGCAGCACCTCCACTCACAGGGCTTTGCCCATCTGGACCTCAAGCCCGCCAACGTCTTTCTGACTCGCTCGGGTCGGCTCAAACTGGGCGACTTTGGGCTCATGCTCAGACTCAGCTGTGGAGATTCTGGGAGGGAGAAGAGTGAGTTGGAAGAAGGGCAGGAAGGGGACCCAAGATACATGGCCCCAGAGCTTCTGAGGGGGCAATACAGTCTGGCTGCTGACGTCTTCAGGTACGACTGCGTGCTCCTGTGCACTGCTCACTTCACTATGCTGCTACTTAACCATTCTGCTTGAGCTCTTGATGCATTTAATGCATCTTTTCAAAACAAATTATTGTGTGTATCTGCTGTATGCTTTTTCAACTTCAGTGTTTCTGTATGTATAATTACCCCTAATAACGACATCGTATTTCACTGAGAATATCTTATTACCATTTATATTTTTATGTGTATATTGGGCCGTGTTTGTTTTTTTATGCTCTCATATTGGCACTGAATGCACATTCTGTTCAGGTTTATTACTTATTGAGGGTATGCATTGACATCACTTGCCTGCTGGAACACACCCCCCTCAGGCGGACCGAGACTCAAAACAGTCAGGGAAACTGCAAAACAAGTGATTATCAGCTTAAATTAAAAGCAATTACATTCATCAGTAGGGGTGAGGAAGTCATCCATAATAGTGATCCTGATTTTGACGATTCGATATTGATTCATCTTAAGCCTTTTCCCTGTGACTGAATTTTTTTCACGTAGGTGACACTATATTCTCTTTTACTTAAAGGAGGGTTGCAATAGCAGCGAAATGCAATTGCGCAATACTATCGCGGTACATCGTCAGTCATGATAGTGGAGGACTCAAGTAGTTTTATTCTTACACCAGTCATATTCAGTGCACTACTTACAGTGATGCAAAATAACATTATATGAAAGCAAAATAAAATGAAATAAAAGCAAATGATGTAAAGCGAAAATAGGAATGTGACCTTCTGTCAGTTATGAGAATATTATTAGTAATTTGTTTTTTGGGTAACACTGAAGCAAATGAAAGCAACAAAGTCTGGAGGTATAATTTATTTCTGTCTGGGTACAAGAACTGCAGAGGGAGAAGTGTGGACGAAATATCTCGGTATATAGTGGTACCTCGGTTCTCGAACTCACTAGAACTCAAATTTCTTGAAAGTCGAACAAACCAGTTTGACCTAGAACTCGATCTGAATATCAGAAGTCGAACCGTGAACCCTGACCTAATATAATGAGTCATACTACAGTGCAATTCTTACTTGAATGCCTTCTTCACAGACTGGACGATTAACCAAATAAAGCAGCCCAACA